AAGCGAAGCATTGAGGAAGCCTCTCTTACATTGCAATACCTCAACAAGCTAGGAATTAAGCCTGAGCCTCTTTTTCGAGTGGTTAGCAATACCATCGAGCCCATCACTCTTTTTCATAAGATGGGTGTGGGCAGGTTAGACATGTTTGTCCTGAACCCTGTTAAGGACAGTAAGGAAATGCAGTTCCTCATGCAGAAGTGGGCAGGTAACAGCAAGGCCAAGACAGGGATAGTGCTTCCCAATGGAAAAGAGGGAGAAATATCTGTCCCGTATTTGACATCTATTACTGCTCTCGTTGTATGGCTCCCTGCCAACCCTACAGAAAAAATCATCAGAGTTTTGTTCCCTGGAAATGCACCGCAGAACAAAATCCTTGAAGGGCTTGAAAAGTTGAAGCACCTTGATTTCTTGCGGTATCCGGTAGCCACCCAAAAAGACATTAATTCTGGCATTTCACCTTCAGCAGTAAAACAAACAAAGCTAAAGCAAAGAACTGACAGCAAAGAAAGTCTCAAATCATCTCCCAAGACTCAAGCACCAGCTAAGCCTTTTAAGAAAGAAACCGACGAGCATGAGGATGTATCCATTGTCGAAATGAAGACTGACTCTGTCAACGAGAACAAAATTGAGAAAAAAGAAGAAAAGAAGCACACCAAGCCATTGAAACCAAAAACAGAAGTGACAGAAAAGAAAAAATTATTGAAGGAGAAATCACTGAAAAAACACCCCAAGGAAAGGGTGTCCAAAATGGATGAAAAGAAAGACAAAGAAAAGAGGGAAGTTAAGAAAGAAAAACGTGAAATTAAAAAAGATGATGCTGTGAAAAAAGATGAGAAAAAGGTTAAAACCAAGGACACTTTAAAACCTGAACTGAGAAAAATAACTAAACCTGACCTGAAACCTTTTACACCAGAGGTGAGGAAGACCCTCAACAAGGCCAAAACCCAAGGGAAACCCAAAACAATAAAGAGTAAACCAACAACTGCCAAGTTAGAGAGTGCAAGGATTGTGGCAGAACCAGTGGCTGAGAAGATTGAACCTGAGAAACCGGAGAATGTGACAGGAAAAGTAATATATGCTCCATCTACTCCAGAAGATTTAACAAAAGACTTTGATGAAATGAGACCTACTGAAATGACAGATCACTCTGAAGCCCCGAAAAGTGCCCTTACTGTCTCCGGATTACCAGCTAAAAGAGATGATGATGTAGCAGAGGAGCAAGAACAAGATCATGTTACAGAAACCGATATTGTGGAACAAAAAGCTACAGAGAAAGAAGCAGCGCCATCAGCAGAAATCCAAGAAGTGCGATCAGCAGAAGTGAAAGAACAACAGGATGAGCCCCAAATATCAGAATTAGAAAAATTTGAGGATGAGGGTGCTGCAATTGAAGATGAAGATGAGGAAGAGGTTGAGACACAGCCTGTTAGAAAGAAGATAGAGGAGGAGGAGGAAGACATGGGAATAGGAGATGAAGAGGATGAAGGGGCAATAAAGGAAACCAAAGACTTAGAGGGAGTGGACAGAAAACATGAAGTTGAGGAAATGGAGAAGCAAAAACAAGTGGAGGAAAGAAAGACTGAAGCTGAAGAGGAGCAGTTTGAAGAAGAGGATGTGATTGAAAAAGCCGAGCTAGAGGAGGCAGAGGATTTGGATGCCATTGCAGATGAAGAAATAAAAGATATCTCTGCTGAGAAAGTCAAGGAAGAAGAGGATGCATACTTGCCAAATGTTGGAGGTGTTAGAGCTGGTATTACCTCTACAGCCCAAGGAGCTGCAGCAGCAGAAAACTTGTCATATATTCAGGATGAAACCATCCCAGGTTACTCTGAGACTGAACAGACCATCTCAGATGAGGAGATCCATGAAGAAGCAGAGGACAGGATACCACACCTTCAATATGAGGTTGGTAGCTATGATGTCTCGGTCCCAGACCAACCAGGCTCCTTTGATGCCATCCATGGAATGAGAGAAATGCAAGCCGCTGCAATGGGCAATGGAACAGGCAAAGTATTGATTGGTGCACAG